TTTCTTGAGTTAAGGCAATGAAAACTGCACACAGTACTCCAGATGTGCTCTAACCAAGCACCTTTACAAGACTTACTAGTCCTGTACTCATATCCTCTTGAAGGGTAAAATATGCCTCCTGGGAAGAATGTTGGAAAAGGAAGTAATGGCAAAGCCAGCGCAGTTCGAGAGGACCATACAACTACTCTCTCATTAGAGAGAGACAACTGGTGGTGATTTTATCCTGAGGGTCAATATGCCTCGGGTGAGTGGAGGGTGGGGAGGTGGTGAGGTTGAGAAGGTGGCACCTTCCTGGTAACTACACCTAATTTGGAAATGCCTCCTCCTCTTTCATTTACAATTCTGCATTATGAATATTGTGAACAATAGGAGGGGGTTATGGCTTCCTTACACAAATATTTGTTCAGTATTTTGTTGTGCTCCAGTATGGTATAATGTAAAATAACTGAAGAGGCTTTCTATCTTGTCAAGAAGTCAGGTGATTGAACTAGGCCAATGAGTTGTAGGAACATGGCTTTGAATATGTTCATTGGTCATCTGGTTAACAAGCTGGATTTATGGTGCACCTTTAATATTAAAAGATAGCCTCAAGCAGTTTGTTTTTAGATATATAGATTGTTCAAAGATACCAAAATTTGCAGAATCATTGAACCCTTACCATATGGGAGCAGGCCATTCAGCCCATCAAACCCTCCAAAGAGCATCCGACCCAGGCCCAATCGATATAATCCTGCATTTCCCATGGCTCATCTACCTTGCCTGCACATCCCCTGACATTATGGGACAATCTACCATGACCAATCCACCTAACCTGCACATCCCTGGCTACCATGGGCAATTTAGCATGGCCAATCCACATAGTTTGCATATCTGTGGACTGTGCGAAGAAACCGGAGCGCCCTGCGGAAACGCAGACATGGGGAGAACATGTAAGCTCCACACAGACAGTCACCCGAGGGTGGAATCGAACACATGTCCTTGGCGCTGTGAGGCAGCAGTGCCAACCACTGAGCCACCATGCCGCTTTCCGAACTTGGAGCTGGAGGGGCGGGGTGGAGGGGCGGTGCTGGCGTGGGGAACAGAATGTTGAAGCTATAGGAGACTGTAACAAGAGGAGGTCACAAAGGGAGTGACGTGCCATGATGGATGAGCTTCGTGTACAAAGCACAAAATCTCATGAGCTGTGGCTGAAGGCAGGGTGAATGCAGTATGCTGGAGTAATACCGAACTATAAAGGGCAGCACATTGCTGTGTTCAAGCTTGAGATGGCCAGAGTTAAACAATTGGTTCAGGCGATCCAGAGGTTGGGAACGTGTTTAAAAAAAAATCCAGTCAAGTGTGTGACCCCGATCTTCCTCACGGGGCAATTGATTCACATTTCGGAAACAGCCACACACAATGAGCTGCTGATATCTAAACCTCAAGTGGAAGTGGGCAGGGGGAGTTTTGTTTAAACCCTACTGCTGTCAGCTAAATATTTAGCAATGGAACGCTTTTGTCAAAAATAAAATTCTTCCCCTCTTCTCTGAGCCCAGCATCAAATCCCCACATAGCTGAAGATTCTTATCTGAAACTTTGATTTTATTTGCAATGAGAAGGCCATGTAAATTTAATCTAATGTTCACCTTAGATAATTTTTCCTCTCACTGTGCACAATGATTAGCATAAATCTGCATATCAATAAGTGGGAACAGATGTCAGATGTTAGGAGTGGTTGCCAATCACTAACAGTTAAAAAGTGACAGATGGATGATTCTGCCTGGGTCTATTACACTGTCCACAGTAGAGATTCAGGAAGTTGTTCAGACCTCAGCTGTGCCAGGATTAGAACACGCGTATTAAAGACAGACACGCATTCAACTTTATAAAAGCAAGCATTTTTTCTCTATCATTAAACTTACTAAAATTTCCCGACTCAAAACCTGGCCATCCAGAACAGGGGACTTTGCCTTAAAATTAGAGGGTTTCTTCCTCTCAAATATGGTTGAATGTTGTTGAAATTCCCTTCCTTAAACGATGCAGAATCTTAACGAATTTTTAAAGCAGTGGTAGATAGATACTTAAACACAGAAATTTCTGAGGAAACCCAGCAAGTCTGGCAGCATCGGTGGACAGAAAACAGAATTAACGTTTCAACTCTAGTGTGACACTTACTCAGAACAGAATGGTCACTGGGCTCAAAGCATTAACTGTTTTCCTCTCTCCATAGACGCTGCCAGACCTGCTGAGTTTCTTCAGGTTTTTGTTTCAGATTTCCAGCATCTGCAGGTCTTTGTTTCATTGTAGATAGATTCTTGATTGTCAACTGGACGAAAGATCATCATAAATGTAGAGATATGGGTACATTCAGATTGGCCATGATTTTATTGAACGGTAAAGGAGGCTTGTAGTGCTGAGTGGCCTACTCTTGTTCCTTGTTCATGCGTTCAGGAGTGAAGTCATACTGCATTTCTTCACAAAAAGGGCGACAGAAATGTAGAAACTCTCTGCCACCAAAATATTGTTGAATCTGGAGGGATCAATACTCAGATCGATAGACTTTTGTTCAGAAAATATAGTAAAAATCAAGGAACTAATATGGATAAATGAGTTGAAATCTAGATTCCTATGATATAATTATGTCAGATTTGTCTCAAGGATTTGAATGGCCAAGCTCCGTTTCCATGTTCCAAAACAAAGGATTATTCAACTATTGCAAAATGGACAATAATCACATCAAACTTTTAAAATAACTCTACTTGAAAACCAAGGTGGACACACCAAAGATCTTTCTTAAAAAAAACCTTAACTCCATCCTGAATCTCTTTACACCGGGGTGGGGGGGTGGACTTACTGCCATTCACAGCCACAGAGAGCTCCCAAGTACTTGAAAACTAAGTACAACAGTGACCACACTTCAAACAGAGCAGCCAATTTGCACACAGCAAACTTCCTCAATGTGACAAAGATCAGATAAATGTTTGTTAACTGTTGATTGAAGGATAAATATTGGCCAAGATGCTGGGAAGAATTTGCTACTGTCCTTTAAAATGGGGTCACAGGACCTTTTACCCTCACCTGAGGTGGCCAATGGGCTCTTGGTTTCATGTTTCATCCTCAAGACAGCACTTCCCTCAGTACCACACAACAGCATCAGTCTTGGCTTTTGTGTTCTACAACAAAGATTCACTTTCCTGATTCCACTGATTAAGTGGCTTGTCCAATGAAGAGAAATGAAATCTAAACAGTTTATAATTGCTGGAGTTTAGAAGAATGGGAAGTAAACTTTAATATGATGTCGGAAATGCAGCTTTAATTTAGATGCCAAAGACTGCGGAAATGGTTTAATGCAAGTGTGGGTCACATCACATTTTTAACAATTCTTTTTCCATATCTGGAATACAATGGCTTAATTTGGAGTTTGATTCAGTAACGTGTTCTGAACTGCTTAATTTGGGAATGCCACTGACTAGGAGCGCTGTGAACACACATACTCGACAAGCACCCTGAAGCATCATCACTGTTAATTGTATGCAGCATTGGGTCTGAATGGTATCAGGCTGCAGTTGCTCACTCTTCCAGCTATAATGGTTCATGCATAACTGCAATTCATAATGTCTTCTGAGGAACAGCAAACACTGCAGGAGGAACCAAGGCACTGAGAGGCATGGCAACAAGGATCATTCATCAAACTGAAACAGGGCTCCTGTGGCACTGTGGGGTTCTGGGTGACTGGTCAGTCGCTCAAATCTAAAACCCCCACTCACATCATTATCAATAAGTGTTTTGTGAATGAAACGTCACTGAACAAACTGGAGATGATGTGGAGGTTGGTCTTTGTTTGGAGGTGGTTCTGGTAGAAGGGTAAGGATATCTTAATGCAATGGCATAAAGATTTGACAAGATCACACCTAGGGTTCAGCGCCACGTTTGCTCTAAATTGCACTGCATTTGTGAACGTACTGTGTAAGGAACAAAAAGGCCCCAAATAAGCAACATTCCCTTTTATGTTGTACCTGCGTGGTGTGCAGCAATTCTAGAGGGAATGTGCCAGCAAAGACAAACCAGACAGAGTGTCAGTACGATGCACAGTTTGGACTCTGTGCTCGAGAAAGGATACAAACACCCGAGAGGGGCTACAACAAAGATTCACTTTCCTGATTCCACTGATTAAGTGGCTTGTCCAATGAAGAGAAATGAAATCTAAACAGTTTATAATTGCTGGAGTTTAGAAGAATGGGAAGTAAACTTATTTAAATGCCTAAAATGTTCAAATTCCTCGATAGAACATGTAGTGTTTGGAATGAGGTTGGCCAGGTGGATCTCATTGAGTATAAGATCCCCGACTGGGGTTGGTAACCTGGGTCAATCAGGGAGCCTTGGTTGACAGATATAAACAGGAATCTCTCAGATTCTCCTCACTCTAGGGATTGGCTCTGAGCTGGCTGGTCAGAGCCCATATCTTGTGCATGTGTAAGTAAAGGGTGACTTGGTGATGAGATACCAGCCACTGTGGAGTTATTTCAGAGTACAAGCCGTGAGTCTTGATTCGAGAATAATTTTCCTGGATAGTAGACCTCCACTCAGGACTGAGGAGAAATGTCCTCATCCAGACGGATGTGAACTGTCAGAATTGCTGAACACAGGGAGAGGTAATTGCATATATTCAGGAAAAACTCAAGGGCCCTGACCTTACCGTTTTGTCTACCTCTGGTTTGGGTTCAGCCATTGGAAAGAGGTAACAAACCTATCAGAACTGGATGCGGAGCTAATTCTCCAGATCATGAACAGTATTCTAACTATGGGAAGTTCAGAGGCTTGCGAAGCCAACGGATGATGCATTGTGTTGCTTCATAGTGCACTGTTGTCACCCAATTGAAAGAGGGTCAAGGTGCTGTAATAGCAGACTTTTGTATTGTCAGAGTGCATTCCAAAGGCATAGCCACTGAAATGATAATGTGGCTGAGCAGTTGATAAGGCATTTCTATGGAAGAAAACAACATGGAACATCTCCTACTCACCCGCCATTTGTTGAATGCCACTGAACGCGCCCAGGTTACTCGTCGAAGTCGCTTGCTGCAAAAGCTGTGAATAAATAAAATAATCCCATTGTAGTGTGAACATTTAAGCTCTGGAATTTTTTGAAAATCAATTCAGAAGCTCATTTTCCACTCTCCCACTGATAAACTGAACATTCCTACCAGTGTTGTGCATAAATCCATATTAATGTCTAATGCTTTTCAAGGCTAAGTAGCATAACAATTCAACAACATCGTTGTCCTAAAAACAATTCATCAGTTTAATACCTCAAAACCCATCAGCCATTTAAAACAACATTCCATGACTAATTGTGACTCTCCACAATCAAGTGGGTATGTTCAACCAGACTGTGTCAATCAAAGCTGAGTTGTACATTTATCACCTTGCTTCTATTTGTTTTTGAGGGATGCAAAGTGGATCTCAAGTTGATTATAAACAGCTCTGGCTTCTCAGCACTATTAACTTGAAGATAAGACGGCTGCAGAGTCAAGAGTGCTGTAACCTTTAGGATAGCAGCTACTATGTTAGAAAAGAATAAGTGATTCCAAACAGGCAGGTTGTTCTGCATGCATGTGGGCTGGCTCACACAGCAAGGGTTTCTAGGGTCTCTCCGCTGAAGACAGAACAGATCCTCACAGAGACAGTCACTCTCACTTGACTTTAGGAACCAAGTTGGGGCCTTGGGGAGAGGGATATGGTGGACTGCAAAACAGGAGACTGCTCTGATCCAGTCAGTTTCCTGTGTCAAAGGGTTAGGTGAGCATTACTCAAGGCTGAGTAACTGAATAGGTGTTACTTTAAACTGAAAATGAAGTTATTTGCTCTTCATTAGATCTTGAATAGCACAGAACAAGTTCACATGAGGACATCACAACTGTCTTTCCGTGGGGCAGACACTGCATTGAAACACTCCTTTAAAAAATGAACATGGTGAGTATGTATTTTATGTACAGATAGGAACAAATGTCACACAGACACATGTTTGCAGACACAAGCATGGAGACAGACAGGCATGTGCACACACGTACAGGCATGTGAGCACAAATCAATGTGACAACACAAACATGCGCCTTCTCAAATACACACATGCACATGAAGATGGACTCAAATACACACGCACATAAACACACACACACATACGTGTGTACACAAACCTATGCTTACACACACACAGACACAGAGGCAGGTTTCCAGCCAGACTGCACAAGAACAAATGGTCTGGTTGAAAGTTTGAGCTTTGTTCAAAACGATTTCCATCTTGGAAAAGTGCGTTTGACACCAAGCCCCCACTTAAATCCCACAGTGAGCCTTGCAGCTGTGTAAGCACACCACAATGAACAACTTAACATGAAATGAAGCAAAACTGCATCATGTGGAGTGATTCCATTGTGTTATTGGACTGAACTGTGGGGTGCTGCTAGTGTCACAGCATCTCCAGTGTGTTGCCATGTTGTTGGGGGATAGAGTGAGGCACCACTCCCAGAGACAGCAGGCTCATATCATCGCGGATCCTGACCAATCCGGGCAGATCGTCACCGCGGATCCTGACCAATCCGGGCGATTGTCACTGTCTGACCCTCAGCTGCAGGACAGAGCACACGATGCGGTCTGTGGGTCGTCAGGGTAACAGGCAGACACAGTCATATGGGGGAGTGACGTGAGGTGAGAGTACAGGGAGAGGGACTCTCTTCAGTCATCGCCTGAGGTGTATAAATGAGAGTGACCGGGAGAGAGAGAACACTCACCCAGGGAAAATAGTCCACCTCCAGAATCAACCTCCGATATACCCTATAACCTGACAACAGCTCAGCTCAGCGTTCTTTAAGTTGCTCCAAATTATCATCTGCATTCAACATTTGTGAGCAGATTTTTAAAAATCACTCACGTTACCGATTGACAGCACTCACAGTAAATGGGACGGCTATACTTCCAGACGACTGCTTAACGCGAGCTACAATAAACCACTCCCAGTGTACACTAGAGACTCTGGTGCCATCCATATGTATTCATGTTAGCAGACAGTGGAAAATATACAGGAGTATCTACCTGAAATGTGAAAGAGTTATGGACATGTCTCAACCTTTAAACGAAAAGCTTCTTTGTCCCTGGATCACATTAAGCAAGAAACTCCACATCATTTTGAATTTGTGTAGCACCATTTAAATCTGAGCAAGAGGGCACGCGTTTTGATGGAACTGGTTCAGATGTCCTCTGTTATTTCAAATACACTTCCATGAGCTGCGCCGTCTCCCCTCCCCAGAACGTACCCTAAGTAACACACATAGGCTTCCAAAACATACAAAGTCCCACTCAGTTTAGGTCCCCAAACCTCTCGAGGGCCAACTGGTCCAATATATTCTCTGTACAGTTGTGAAACACATTGAACACTGTAAACACATTTTACTATCACAAACTTGTGTCTGAAAAAAAAACAGATCCTCTGCTATATGTCAAAAAAAGAGACAAGGATCTTGCATTTGTATAGTGCCTTCCATGACCTTGAGATGCCCCCCCATGCTTTCCGGCCAGGAAAGTTCTTTTGAAGTACGGTAATTAATGTAGTGTGGAAAAACAAGGCAAGCACTTGGACCTCAGTAAGATCCCACAAAAATACATGAAGGGATAATCTGTTTCTTCAGCGATTCATATTAGTCAGGACACTCAGCCCCTGGTCTTCTTTGAATGTTGCCACAGGATATTTCAACTGCACTTGGTAGGGCAGAAGGGACCTCATTTTAACATTTCACCTGAAAGACTTAGCCCATTATTAATGCTAGCAGCCTTCGGCAGAACTAGAAATGCACTGTATCTCTTCTCTGTCAAGAAGGTATTTAGAATATGGATTGTGTTGCCAGATAGAGTAAGATGAGGCAAGTAGTGTGCATGTATCTGAGGGAACACTAGATTAACACTGGAGGGAGCGTAGAATGGAAATATATGCTGATGCTTTTAGATAAAGTACGATGGGAGTAGGTTCGTGTGCCAGCAAAATCTTAGGCATAGACCATTGGGCTGAATGGCCTGTTTCTGTGCTAGGAAGTCCCTGTAATTCAGATTTATTCCCCGCCCCCAACACCAACAATTTCCAACCCTTTATTTTTCCATGACACCTACATCTACACGTGGACACTTCATAAAGCAAGTGACTGGATGGCAGGCAAGATTGTGAGCCCAGTTGGATCTCTTCCCCTTCTCATGCTCCTTTGGTAGATCCCGTCCAGCATTTAATATTTTATTCCAAGTTGTCCTCTAATTCCCTTCTAATTAGAGTCAGGGGAGAAATTAAAAAGTGGAATATTCAGGCAGCTTTTCCAAAAAGTCAGCAGCACAGTCATGAAAGGCTAAATGGCCGCTTTCTGTGTCAAAGCATCGAATAAACGTTATGGTTGATTTAAATTCAATGATGGTAATCATCCAAATGACACTATGCGTGAAAAAATATATTTTGTACTTTGTACTAAATTAACCCTTTGCTTGGAATTACAATCGATCACTTCTTTCAGGTTCAGCAAACCGGGCATATGCACTAACAAGAGCCAGAACCTTCTCTGACTCTGCTGGTTAGTAGCAGGCTGATTCTTGACTCACTGAGATGACCGGGAGGCTATGGAGATGTTTTCACTCTGATGAGCTTCGCCTGACGCCCTACCACAGGTTCTGTGCTTGCTGCCATCAAGTTACATTTCATGGCTACTTCTCACCAAGAGCATCATCAGCCTTCTACGGGCCTTCTCAAACTCTAATCATGTAGGAATTCACATTTTATACTCTGAAATGTTACGTCCACGCAAAAGTAAAGCATAAATGACAGGCAATTTTTCCCTAATGTTATTACAGTCCGATTCACTTACACCCAAATCTAATACATAGATTAACATCCTGCGCCAACAGGAAACATCGGCCTCCTCCACAGCACACTGACCAGCAGCTTCAGCAGTTACTCTATGTGCACATCAAAAGGACAGAGTGCAACAAAGGACTGAACAATTACATGGACAGCAATTATAACACAGGCTTTTTGCTGCCTCAGAGAAAATGATGAAAGTATTTTAAGGATACAAACACTTCCTCAATACAGCTTTAATGCAAAAGAGCCATTTCCATTTGTGGGAGGCAAAACCAGATTCTCTCGGTATATCGTGGACACTATTAATCCAATTAGAAATTCAGGAGAAAACTCTTCAGCCAAAGTGTGGCTAAAATGGGGAACTTGTTAGCACATTGAAAAGTTGAAGTGCATACTGTATTTAAGGAGATCCTAGTTAATGACGTGAGGACAATAGCTGATAGTTAGATAGAAAAGGAGTGACAGAAGAGATAGTAGGAACTGCAGATGCTGGAGAATCTGAGATAACAAGGTGTAGAGCTGGATGAACACAGCAGGCCAAGCAGCATCAGAGGAGCAGGAAGGCTGACGTTTCGGGCCGAGACCCTTCTTCAGAAAAGAAAAGTGACAGAAAGTTTGTTTGGAGCATACATAATGCTATGGGACCATTGACTCAGGTGCTCTGTGTGCACGCTCACTATACAAATGGTTGGATGTGATTCCAAGGATTCAAGTTGAATCTGTACTGCAGAAAGAAACTAATAGTAAACTTTAAGCAGTGTCTCATCACCACTTCAAACCTGAGATTAGATGAAAGCCTTGAAATTACTGATAGTTTTCTCCCTTTGACCTTCACAGCATTCAGTTGACAGTTTTTGATTCAGACCTTGGACTGTTTCAGTGCTGAGGGAAGCCATTCCCAGGCAAGTGGTAATTTGCTGCTATCGGGATAATATCCACAACAGGCAATTACGATTGCTGATGGCAGGGGGAAAATGGACAGGTTAAAGGAATCTAGTTTCCCAAGAACAGTGAAAATCCAGGACAGCACATTTGAAATTCCAGGGGGAGACCTGTATAGGGCTATGGAGAGAAGGCTGGGGGAGTGGGACTAATAGGATGTCTCTCTCAAAGAGCCAGCATAGGCACAATAGTCAATTGGCTTCCTTCTGTGCGCTAATGATTATATGACTTACATGGAAAGTGTCCTTCTCTGCTTGAAATCCAAGCAGCAGCTGCAACTAGTTGGGCAAGTGGCCCACAGACTCCAACGTGGGAACAGCTGCAGTTCCTCAGGAGACGGCCTTCCCACCTCATTTACATCTGAGTACAGCTAGTGCCAGTTTGCAATGGCAGAGAGAAACACCACAATCGCAGACCCAAATGGAGATGATTCAGTAATGCCCCTCCAACCATCACACCTGGAGAATGCACCACTGAAAGTGACTCGGATTGATTTCACTCAAACTGAGGCAACCTATAGGCAGCACGGTGACTCAGCGGCTAGCACTGCCGCCTCACAGTGCAAGGACCTGCGTTTGATTCCAGTCTCGGACGAGCAGCTGTGCGGAGTTTGCACATTCTCCCCGCATCTGCGTGGGTTTCCTCCGGGTGCTCCGGTTTCCTCCCACAGTCCAAAGATGTGCAGGTTAAGTGGATTGGCCATGCTAAATTGCCGCGTAGTGTCCAGGGACATGCAGGCTAGGTGAGTTAGCCATGGGAAATACAGAGTTACGGGGATAGGGTGGTGGGGCGTGGTTTGGGTGTGATGCTCTTTGGACAGTCGGTGCAGACTCGATGGGCCAAATGGCCTATGTCTGCACTATAGGGATCTATCCTCCATTTTTGCTGCAGAAATCACCATGCGGTGATAAAGAGATGAGTTCCAATTGTGTCGTTTGTTGACTTTTTTTAAAAAATGGAACATTTTGGAACTCTCTTCCTGAGAAGATGGTGGAAGCCGAGTCTATGAGTATTTTAAAGGCAGAGACACATTCTTATTAAGCGTGGGGGCAAAAGGTGATGGGACTGGAGTGAATGTGAATTTGAGGTTACAGTCAGATCGGCCATGACCTTACTGAATGGCCCAACCCTGCACCTTGTTCACAGGCATTTCTCAACGATTTGCTGTTGTGCACTGTTCCTGAGTAAAATGGGCAGTTTCCTGTGACTCTTGTAAGAAGCTTCCAAAAGCTGCCAGCTGATGTCATATCAACAATAGGAACCACGCAAAATAAAAACTTGCATTCATCGGGACCTCTTTCACATTCTCAGCATGTTCCAAAGTGCTCTGCAGCCCATGAATTACTCTTGAAGGGCAGTCACTATTATTGCATAGTGAAGTGGTTGTCGACTATGGCACAGCTAGGTGCTACAAACACCAGCAACTAGCTCACCTTGTTTTGGGAGCTTTGGGAATAATGAGACAACTCCCTACTATTTTTCAAATTGTACCACGAGACATATTTTTAACATCCAACTAACGGACAGACTTACTTTGATAGACTGCACTTGTGGTGATATAGCCTTCCCAAAAGCGTCAGAAGTGTCAACCAACATTAAATGCTTTAATCCCGCTGTGAATCCACAGCCTTGTGTCTCAAAGCTGGGGTGTTACCTCTGCAATATCACTTTGCAAAGATCCATTTTTTTTTGAGTAATTAGTCCCCAATGTTGCACCCAGAACGCTTCAGGAATTAGGATGATTTGGTTCAGCTCAATGGTTTACAGGACCTGGAATAGGCTAATATTGCAGATGAGCAGCATTGATACAGATTAACACAGATGCAACACTGCGGGACTTGATTCATTGCACAGCAGTATTAACCAAGTAAAACTCATCAATTTTCTGGTTCTAGCTGTGTTTCAGTAGAAGCCTCAGGTTTAGAAAGTTGTGGGTTGAAGTCCTACTCCTGGGACTGGTTCTTCAGTGCATTACTGAGGAAGACCTGCTCTTTCAGGGATATTATCCAATTAGATGCTTAAGCGGGACCTTATCTGCTCCCTTGGATGGAACTGCATTGTTTTTAATAAAAGTTGAGGGATTCTCCTCAGTGTCTATCAAATATTTATAGCTCAGCCAAAGCTGATTATCTGGCCATTATCATAGATAATGCAGGAGCTTGAATGTAAACTTACAAAAGTGATGGCACTTCAAAAACTACTTAATCAGCTGTAAAATACTGTGCATTGCCCAAGTCATGGAAGGCATTATATAAATGCAAGTGTATCTTTTTAGGACAGGAAAACATTGCTCAGAACTTCCTAACATTTTACGTAGAGGATTTGATTGTGTCCTGGAATTGCTGTTTGGAGTCAGAATAACAGCGATACAGGAAAAAAAAACAAGCTGGAGGCTAGAAACCAAACAATGATGTAAAGGAGGAGACTTAAATGTAATGTTTATGAAGCTATGTTCAATGTAAACCACAGAGAATATGAAGCTCGCAGATATTATTAAACATTTTCCCAACTGTACAGAGGGTACAAGTCTCCTCCACCCTTCCCTGAAGGAAATTAAATTAATGACATCCAATTCACATTCCCCACTTATGCTGCATCAAGAGAAAAAGAAATAAAAAAAAGACTGACTGTATGCATGTTTTGGGGTACGAAAACTTCTTTTGTTCCAATTTCGACACTGTTCTTGGTTCCCCAATGACCACTTACAGCCAGGTATTGTGGTCCCAGGGCACCCAGGCCAGTGAGATTTCCCCAGGTTGCTGTGTTGAGCTGTTGCATCTGCTGGGCCAGCTGTTGCTGCAGGCGCCTCTGCTCCTTGTCCTTCTGAGTGTCCGCAAACTTCACCACGATTGGCGATGAGCAGCCCTGTCGCAGACAGAAGCGCATGGTTAGGATGGAGTGATGAGGCAAGAGACTGTTTCAATGCATCGCTCATTCTTTTCTGCTTCTTCTATTAAAGAACTCTCTGCCACTCCTTCTCCCAACTTACTTACCTACTTAGTCTACTCTACCCATCATGGTTTTAATACTTCTGTAATTACATAAATGTCTAAGACACTAGTTTGAGACCCAAGTTTCTCATTCTCATTCAATGTGAAATTCTACCATGTTATGATCACTCTTTCCTCGACAGTTCTTTGCCATGAGATCATTATTAATTCTGTCTCCTTATACTGTACCAGGTCTAAAACAGGCTATTCCATCATTGGTACTATAATGCGCTTATGATTGCTTGCCACAACCATAAGCAACCTTTAGTTAACTTATCCCCAAGTCTCTCTCCTATACCCAAGGTTAGACAATTGAGGGTTAGCAGGTTTTCAACAGTAAGCTCCGTCTCCTGATGTCACTTTTCAACAAAAGTTAAAGGACGCTAATCAGAAGGAGGCACCACGTTTGAAACCCACTCTTTCGCTGACACCTCCTATTCAATCCATTTTTTTAAAAATCTAGGAAACATTACGTAGCATTAAACATTTTAATTTTTTCTACCTTGTTGCTCTTATTTATAAGACACAGTTACTTCTCAAATAGGATTAGAAATGCAATGAGTAAGAATTCTAATACATACTCTAAAAGAGACAAGAACTTTCAAGGTAAATCTTGAAAAAGGGTTACATGCTCAATTCTACGTTCTTTCAAAATGGTGTCCTGTTCAAAACTTTAACGGCTACAACTCGATGTATTTATTTAGCAAATGCAAATCTCCTTAGTCAAAGAGTAGCCTCCTCATTTGCTGAGTTTAAGCTTTACCTTCAAACAGAGCTTACCGAAATATTTACCTGAAGCTACAATTACAGAATTTCCGCTCCCCACAATGGTTTGAGGGGAATCACACATTCAAACTATCTCTCTGGTCAAATATGTCTTAGTTGCAAATGTTTCCTCTAACTGTGTGAAAACACAGACTCCAAATGCTGGCAAATCTACACAGCACCAATCATTTTTTAAAAGAACCTGTAAGATAACTCCAGAAGTTTCTACTGTCCTGCATTTAACTGCATTGAGTTACAACTCTCCCAAGTTGGGCAACACAGTGGCTCAGTGGTTAGCACTGCTGTCTCACAGCACCAAGGATAAGGGGGTTGATTCCACCCTCGGGTGACTGTCTACATGGAGCTTGCGCATTATCCTCGTGTCTATGTGGGCTTTCTCTGGGTGTTCCGGTTTTCTCCTGCAGTCCAAAGATGTGCAGGTTAGGGTGGATTGGCCATACTAAATTGTCCCATAGTGTCCAGCGATGTGCAGGCTAGGTGGATTAGCCATGGGAAATGTAGGTTTAAAAGGGATGGGGGAGAGGGGGTGGGTCTTGGTCAGGTGGTCTTCAGAGGGTCAGTGTGGACTCGATGGGCTGAATAGCCTTCTTCCATACAGTAGGGATTCTATGATTCTAAGATGTCCCTGCATTTGAATGGCTGTTGGTTCATGTTTGACCCAAATGAGGATGGCACTGTACTTAATCAATCATGGTGGCCATTCCGAACTCATCCGCACCCCACTGTAAAGAGACACAAGTTTTCCAACAGGTTGATAGGATCATCATTCATACATGCAGCAGAGACTAATTATTACAACCCATTCGCCACAAGAACCCATGACAAAGTCTGCACCCTGCTACCTGCTTGTCTATACAACAGAGTGCAGCAGCGAACCCTAGACCTCTCAGTGACTGGATGTTCTACTAAATGTAAAAGTGTATGACATACAGGGACAGACAAAACTCAACATCCCAGCTTGAGGGGGTGGGGGAGAGAGGTGGATTGCTCAGTGGCATTGAAACCTCCTTCTCTTAAGTGGGCTAAATGTCTCGGGGTCTAGATCCCAAATGTTGCAATCTCCAGCAAAAAATCTTCAAACTGGTCTGAACCCAGAAGTCACTGGCATTTGACAAGGTGTAGACAATGCAAAACTGTTCATCAGACACAGCAAGGCCACAACTCCAGAAACAGTAACCATTTTACTTTCGACGGGTAAGATGCAAGGTCCCTAAATAGAAGACAGTGGTGTGGTCGGAATCGATCTTCATCAAGCCTGATTTGCAGGCCTAGCGTTTCTCCCACCCGACCATTGGGATTGTTTCCAGCGCTATCACAAGCAGCTTTCAGGAATTCTGGGACACCATCTAAAACAAATACTTCAGAAGGGTGGCGCGGTGGCTCAGTGGTTAGCACTGCTGCCTCTCAGTGCCAGGCACCCGGGTTCGATTCCACCCTCACGCGACTGTCTGTGTGGAGTTTGCGCATTCTCCCCGTGTCTGCGTGGGATTCCTCCGGGTGCTCCGGTTTCCTCCCACAGTCCAAAGATATGCAGGTTAGGTGGATTGGCCATGCTAAATTGCCCGTAGTGTTCAGGGATGTGTAGATTAGGTGGGTTATAGGGGGATGGGTTTGGGTGGGATGCCCTGAGGGTCGGTGTGGACTTGTTGGGCCGAAGGGCCTGTTTCCACACTGTAGGGATTCTACGATGAAATATTAGCCAGGAACCTAATATCTGTCAAAAGAACCCATGGATTATTCAGCCCTGGCAATGTGACAGCAGACTGTGCTAGTGCTAGAAAGACTAACAATCAATCCATAGACTATTAATCAGGTGTAATTTCAGGACATGTGACGTGTGGGCTGGAAAAACCTCTCCTTCAGCGTTAAATGATTAAAGACATGCCAAGCAGCTCAGGGCTTCTTTCACATTGATTATCTTATTCTACTTAACCTTTTACAAAAACAAAGAACCGACAAGCAACCATTTGAACAGAAAAACAAAAATCCAATCAGCCTTTGGGACATCAGCATCAAAATCCATATTTGTCACCACGGCAACAGATGGCCCACGAGTTCCAAAAAGAGAACTTTCAAAAATTTCCTTTAAATGAATACTCCTTAAATTTGAGAATAACTGGTGAGAAACTATCTCAAGAGACATCAATGCCCTGACTGCTGTGGGTCAATGAGTTAAATTAAAACATCAAAATTCCTCTGTGGAGAGAGAAACAGCTAACGAGTTAAGAGTTAACCAAAATCAAGTTCAGAATTTCTTCCTAATTCTGAAGAAGAGTCATAACAGACTATAAATGTTAACTTTGTTTCTGTCTCCACTGATGCTGCCAGAACCTGCTGAGTTTCTCCAGCGTTCCCCCTGTTTCAGATTCCCAACATCCAGTGTTTTGCTTTTATTAGACTGACATTACCTCTGATGCCTTTGGCCTATTGAGACCTTTCTATGGAGCTAGTTAAATACAAAATGAAGCTCTAAGAGGCTGCATTAAAGACATTAGCCTGCTTACAACAAAACAGGTTTCATTTTGAAAGGTGACCGAGAACAATTTGCATAAAACGCATTAAAATGTTTGCAAGCATATTAAATATAAATAAGAGAAAACGGGGGCTAATGCTTCCTTATAAACATAATGGTATTGCTTTTAGAAACAGTAGCAAATTAAACTGACTTTCAGTATCTACTTAGTAAAATAGATCAGTAATCAACAAACCCCATGTTTAAGAAGATATTCTGCTTCATTACACATACACCTAGCAGCCACATCTGGTGGCTAAATGGTCAGTGGTGATTTGAGCTTGATGCGAAATGGGAACTTAATTCTCTCTGTCCATCATGTTTATTGTAAACAAATGGACTCATGGCATCTTTTAAATTCACCAACACCAATTTAGCACCAAGGTGTTAACTGTTCAGCGGCCTCCCAAACACCCAATTTAACAACAGAATGGGTGATCTTATACATATGTGATATGAATTCCAGCTTGATTCCTAATTATATATATGGTGACAATACTATGGCTTTAAGAGGTGAATTTTGCCTTTTTATTCTCTCTGAAGAGAGATTGAACAGAGGTGTCGAGCAGTCTGTTCTAATCCAATAAAGTAAATAGCTTGAGGGGCCTTGGGTTTTTTGTTAAATTGGAACAATAGAAGCATCCTGAATGGGTGGGATCAAACTCTCAGAGCCAGGGTTTTAATTTAGCTTTCAGTTTTTGGGATTTGGAAGCTGCCATAAATCTTCCTGCCAGAATTTTCTCTTGGTGTTCTTTCCTCCCAGACTGGAGAAACATTGCATGTGAGACAAGCTATTTTACTGAATTTGCCTTTGCCAAGGGTGCGTTCATGGGATGTCACGAGATTGGAACAGCTACTGTTTAGTAGTTAAGTAATCTATTATTCTGTTAAGTTTTCCAATAGAGTTAAAGTTAGACCAATTCTTCTTTCTTTTATTTGTATTTTAACTAAAGAGTAAGAATAAAGTGTGTTTTGCTTAAAGCCGAGTAGTGTAACCAATTAAACTACATCTGGAATACAGCACCTTACTCTTGTCTTTAAATAAGAAAACATTAGGGTCTAGACTATCTACTTCATATATTTGAAAGGGGTTTGGTTTGGTCAATAACAATATTAAAGTGGGTGGGTCCTTGTGTCAGTACCAGGGCAGGGAGGATGCTCACTTGGGGAAGTGGCTTTAAACAGATGGTTCAGCAGAAGGTGGGGGTAAAGATGGAAGGTGCTGTGCTATTGACAGCCCTTTCCCAAGAAGGCTGCTGGAGACAAACTAGGGCCTTTTCAATTGGTGGGCCTTATCAACAGGCTCAGAGTATCATAAAGATAATAGTACATCAAAGGTGGCACTTGTGGGAACACTGGGGCGTACATGAGCTTGTCAAACCCAGTTCTAATCTTTGCATCAGCTGGAGAGGGAGCAGGTGTGGGAATGTACTGGCTCCTTTATCTGTGAAGACTGACAGCTCAGCACCAGCGGGTCAGACCGCCCTCCCCGGCTCAGCACCAGCG